ACCCTGGTAGGCTTATTGCGTGCAACAAGGCACGTTATGATTATTGACAGTGTAGCGAATCCTGTTCCTGTTGCATGAAATTATGTTCCTAGCTCCATGGATACACAACAAACCATTGTGATACCCAGTATAGGCTATATAAAGGCCTAAAATGAACAGATTCCAGCATTTCTAGAGTTTGTGGGACTTTGTCTTCGCCGGATAGACGAGATTAGTTTTGAGTAATTGCCACTAATCACAACTCATATTCACAGGGAAAGGGATATAGTGATCGGTTGTTATGCTACTTTAAATATAGGTTTTCCCGGCTATTTTAAAACATTTTTTTACTCAAATTAACAACTCCAACATTCAATTTCGTCCGAGACCAAATTTCACATTCTTATATACATGTATAATATTTATCATAGCAGATCAAATTCGTCTAAGGTGTTGCTGTATATGGAAGCATTAAGAGATCAAAGTCGTCTTTTCAATCAATCAATTTAAAACTTGCATGAGGTAAATTAGTCTCAATCATTTTTTTTATGCCCCAAGCCACATTTCGGCACATTCGCTCGCATGACTTTTCGGACCGAAGCAGAGTATTGAACTCAAAGAAGAGATACCAAAAAAAAATAACGATTACTAAGATTATTAATACAACGTTATCAAAAATAAACAAAATGAAAGAAGAAGTCTTACAATGAAAAAAGGAAATGCTAAAAAACACGTATCGATAACCCATAAATCCCCGTGTAATATGCCGAAAATATTGAGTCTGAGGGCCCTGTCACACTTCTGCGTATCCTAATTCCTTATGAGTTGCGCATTGACATTTTTTTCATACGCAGTCGTACGCACAATACGCACCTCATATGCATCTCTATCGTTTTTTAGTAGGTTTTATGTACGCAGATATACGCATGGTACGGCCCACTACGCAGGATAGTTTTGGGCATGCACAAAACTACGCTGCGTACGCTGTTACGCAGGTCATAAGTTATAAATACGCAGCGCATCGGTCCCGCATCGGTCGAGTGCGTTACGAGCAGGGGCGGATCCAGGATTTTCAAAAAGGGGGGGGGGGGGGCACAAAAACTTTGTGCGCGTTGCACACATAACGAGACTGAAGCGCGAAATCCCTTGCGGGCGGGGTTGAGGGCACTTGAAGCTCTACGATTTTAGATGTTCTCTCCTACATCATGACTATTTTAAGCCATTAAGAGCAAAATTCACAATGTTTATTTTTTAATTTTAATAACACTAATTTTTTCTACCAAATATAGAATTTAAAATCACTGTTAATGTAAGTTGAAAATTAACCCCAAAATTAGAAGGTGCTGATGACAGCACCCGGGTGAAAAAAAATGAACATGTGTTATTTTGCGAGCGAGCGGAGCGAGCGAGCCAAAAAAAAAGTCATGTTTACTATTAAAACATACATTTCTACCCAGAAATTTGCCTTGCAAACAAAGAAAATAAAATAAATTGAACTTCATTAGGGGACAGCCTGCCCCAAGCAGCCCCCCCCCCCACGGCTGAGCAACTCAACTGGCCCAGAAAATGTCTCTGTCCCAATTCCTTTGAAAAATGTTGTATAACTTATAAGCCTGCTGAGTATTACATTACGAATAGTCTTTACAAACAAAAAGAAGAAATAAAACTTACCGATTTCAAAACCATCTCGATTGTCATAACAAATTTGATATTAGCAAAATTTTCCCGTAGCGTTTAAACGTTTAGTGACTTCAAAAAGACTGCCGCCTGTGTCCCAGTATAATGTGTGGTAACTGCGGTCACATATATACTTACTTTGTATATACACTTGTATACACTTTAACCACCATTTTTTCCATGTTCTTTTGAAGTCTGCAGGCTAAATAATTTAAGACGAAATGAATCGTCTGCATTCTGCAAGTGTTGTCGAATCACTTCAAGAAATGTCAAGGCCTGGGAAAATCGTTTATTTGTATTTTTTTTTTGGGGGGGGCTCCGATTTTCTTAAAAAGAAAACAAAAAAAGCAACCTTTTATTTAACGGAAATGCAAACTGCATCCAAATTCCAATTTCAAAAATATGAAAAACTTTGCCTGCAGCATTCCTGAGCTGCCGCTTTCACATACAAGGTTTCACAATAGTCACATACAAGATTTCTGGCTACGCAACCGGCAGTCCCAGGCATCACAGGGGAGCCTCCTAGCAACAGTATTTCTAAGCAACCAGGTTGGAATGTGATGGGCATGCAGACATGCACCTGTGGCTCAGATAGCTAATCACTCCAGTTGCGCGTGGAAGGAAGTCATATTCATGAAAGCAGACGTTCCGTGATGAAAGCAACCAATGGCGTATTTATTTGCCGGGAACCGGCTCATTTCATTGGCTGAGATACTATCATCACTGTTTATCATCTAAGAATCTTCCAATTACTGACGGCAAGTTCTCAAAGGCCTTAAAGATCGGTGGCCTACAGCTGAACCCAAATGTATATGCTTTGTAACGAACAAGAGTGGCATTGTATCAATTTAAACAATGCGGCTATCAATCATTCTCTGGAAAGGCTTTTCGGAGCTGAGATTTTATTTGGGCATTTTTTTTTCTCAGAGACAGGGGAAAACTTTATGCGAAAAATGTGGGAAACTGAATTAAACGTGAAATTTCACCTCCGTGTTGTGTACATGCACATAGATAAACGATTGGGGGATGATATTCCAAGTCCAAATAATTCATTAAATGTAGGGCTCCCGATGTCTTTTTTTCGTAGTACGATTTTATTCTTCGCTTTTAAAAAAAATAAAACTGCATGGCCTACATTATTTTTGGTAAATGTTACTCTTAACTAGAATATAATTATTTCGGAATACAATCATTTTGAAATTAAGTTTGAAGTCAAAGGGCTGTTGATAATCTTATTCGTATTCCTTTTAAAATTAGGAAAAACTAAGCATATTAAAATTTCGTATTAAAATTTCCCCTGGAATCTACAAAAGAATAAACTGAGAGTTCAGAATTTAATGGGCTAGGGCGTTTGAAATCGTTTTACTTTAAAAATAAATCGAGAGAACAAGACATACTAAATCGTATTAAAATAACCCCTATTTTTTGATGTCTCTCTCTATCTGAGGCCGGGACAATATAAAAGGGATGACGATTAATTCTTCGTGTATTTAAAAAATAAAACGCATGGCCTACATTATTTTGTGAAAATGTTTGACTCTAGAATATATTTTGGAATATATTTTGACGCTATTATTTGAGGGATGTTGTTAATCCTGATCATATTTATTTAAAAATAAGAGAAACCGAGCATCATTCGTATTAAATTTCCCCTGGAATCTACAAAAGAATTAACTTAGAGTGCAAAGTTTAACGGGCTAGGTTTTTTTATTATCATTTTGTTTTTAAAAAAATATTTAGAGAACCAGACGTAAATCTCTCTCTGAGGCCGGGAAAATAAAAAAAGGGGATGACGATTTTATTCTTCATTTATTAAAAAAACCCACATGGCCTACATTATTTCGTGTACCGGTACATGTTCTACTCTAGAATATATTTTGGAATATATTTTGACATGAAGCATTAAATGCAAGTGCTGTATTAAATGTGCCCCCTATTCCAGCCGGGAAATAGAAAGGTGTCTTATAAAAATATATTCTTGATTTGAAAGAAATTTTGAGACAATGATTGAAAGGCGACCTTCAAAACATTGTATATTTTTGTTGATAATTATGTTTGATAGTTATGTTCAAAGCGATTGATTTGAGGACCGCATGTCCGCCCGCCCTAAGACGACTCGTAAAAAAAAAAAAAAAAAAAAAAAACAGTTGCGAAAAAGGGGGGGGGGGGGGGGGGGGGGGGGCACGGGCCGGGTGTGCCCCATCTGGATCCGCGCGTGGTTACGAGTACGCTATGTGTTCGTGACGCACCCCGTCAGCATATGAGCCGCCTGTATTGGACGTATACATAGCGTACTTGCAGCGCAGATGCAACGCACGCTGGACGGCGAGCGGTGGAAATGCGGCGGGAATACGCTCAGAAGTGCGTGAAGCATGCGGTCGGCATAAGTCGGGTGCGTCCGGAATACGCTCGGCATGCGCACTGCATTCTGACCTATTCGCAGCCCGAAAAATAATGTTGTGCACTGCATACGGAACTCATACGCATCTCATACGCAATGGATGCGCTGAATTCGTTACTTGTACGCTAGATGTGCGTCGCACATAAGTCAAAGTGATCAAAACATTTGGACGTTAATTGAGCGTACGGCTGCGTATTGCAATTTTTTTATAAGGAACTCATAAGAAATTAGCATACGCAAAGGTGTGACAGGGGCTTGACATATTTTAAGAACAAGATAGAATCAAAAGAAATGACCCATTTTGAAGAAATAAGGACGGAAAAAAAATTAAGACATACTTATTAGAGGATCTTTATGCCTTTGAAGATACCGCTATGAAGTATGACGAAATTGAACAAACTTATGTTTAAAGGGAAAATACAACATTTGCAAACATCAAAAAATAAAACTATCAAATCATTTTGAAATACCTTGCTGGACTGTTAGTGAATGACAGTGTAAAGAATCCTGTAAAATCATGGCACCTGGTATACTGTCATTTTCAAGAAAAGTGTTTTTTTGTATCAATTTCCAACACTGATCGGCCGATCAGCGTTGGAAAAAAACTGGCTTTTTTCAAATACTGGCCCCAGTTGACCATCGCACTTGTTTGCAATCGATTACACACCTATGAACGGGTACAAGCCAGCTAGACTGGTTCCCTGACCTTACAATTCCCCAATATATGTAAACTGCTCTGTTTCTTCTTAAATGGAGTCAGGGAACCAGGCTACAGGAAAATGATTGTTTTTCTTGGTTTTTATAGCATTTTCGAACCCAAAATCTCAAAAAAGTCAGTGTAACTATATTTGCTATATATTTTCAACCCCCCAATTCCATCCATTTCTGAAAATTACAGCAAAAGCAAATGTATATTCCCTTTAAAGTGTGTGCCTGTTAGGCCGTCAGCTGGACTGGAAAATTCGTTCGTTTCGCTCCAGCAATCGCGGGTCTAAAAAATTTTAACAGTTGTACCGAAATACACATCCAAAGAATGATACTACAAAAGTTCTCCACATTTCGTCCAGCAGTTTTCTGATAATTTGACTCGAAAAAGCGAACTATTTGTCCATTGTGGACGTTCAAAAACGTACCGCGCCTACGTTAAAAAAATCCGCTGCGTATGACGCATCGTACCACGTGACGTGAACTGTCCAATTAGACACCAGATATGAGGTCGCAGGTCATGACATTTAACAAACATGGCGGCGTCCATTGGCAAAAGTGCGTCAACGTAAACATCGACCTGTGCAAAAAAGAAGTGTTTGCACTCATAATCTGTCACGTTTGAGGGGGGAAATGCGAAGGATCTGATGTCCGGTGATAGTAAGTTCATTTCCTGTGCCAAAGAGTGGCTGAATTTCACAATGGCATCGCCGAATAAACCCACGATGTGTGGGCAGTGGATCTGCTATGTCTGTATCGTACTGTACAGTACTACATCATGCACTACCATGACTACCGGCGCATGTAAACAAGGCAGTCCGGCCGGCCGATCTCACCCGTGGCGGCTTTTATAGATAGTAAACGTCTCGGTGCTGCAAGAAAACGCAAACCAGACACTTCAGCTGAGACCCAGATTTCTTCACCGAAAAAGCTCCGGGCAAAGTTCAAGTTTCTTTGAATTGCCTATCTACATAACTGTGTCATGCTGCACACAAACTCAACCAGGATTTTGATTTCGATGAAAACCTCAATTCAAGGACAGTACAACAAGCAGAACTTCCGTTGGAGGTAGGCCTACATGTCATTATAATAAAGGCGATTGTGTATTTATGTGCCCCAACAAAGAACCAACAAATCCATGTTTGGGTTTAATTGTCTTGAATTAAGGGTAAGGTTAGGTTTTAATTTCTTTGAGGGAAACTGGGGTGACACAACGATAAAAACGCAATGCGAAAACAAAGCTGGTGGTCACCACGATGCACCGTGAATGCACAGAACCGCATCGATTTGGATGGCATCAACTGAAAATGCATAGGAAAATTTTATTTTCTTGCAAAAGATACCATTCAAAATGATAACAGATTCCTGGTTATAAAAAAAACACCTTTTCTTTCTCTACGGCATTGGACTGTACGTCACTTGTTTACCGAATGGTTTTTGGACTTTACTTTCCTTTTAGAAAAATTCTCTAAAGTCAATGAAGAAAAATGTCTTCAATGAAAAATATATCTTATTTGAAAAACCCAGTAAAAAGGTTTTTTTTTTTTTAGTTCCATCATCTATGATTCAACCGAGTACCTCTGGCTCTGAAAATAAATGTCTTACGTTAAGATGCCAAAGTACAACGGGTACTGCACAAATTCCCATAATAAAATGTTGCGCAGTCTCTTTCTCCATTGTTGAAGGATACTTTTATGGAGGTGTGAGGGTAGTCTTTCCCTTTGTGTAAAATAGCGAAATAGCTTTTTATAGAATTTACTATTTGATTCTATATATATAGGCCTAAAGGATGAACGTCAGGAAAAGGGAGATGTTCTGCGACTGATTGTTCAGCCCCGATCAACAAGAATGTCCCAGCTTGCTGAACTGTTGGAATCATGAAATGATTTAGAAGCCGAAGGAACTGGCCGTGGATCTTTATATCGGTAAGATGTTTTGATTTTTATTCAGAGTGCAAACAGAAATACACTTTAATAGAATATTCAAAATGAAAACTTCTTGATATTGCTTTGGAAGCTGAAAAGGTTGGTTCTCAATAGCTACCAATGTTTACATATTTACAGTGGAAGGCAAAACGATCGGGCACGTGATCTTTCTAGTAATTTAACTCTAGATTGAACAAGTTGTTTTCTTTCTTCTAAAGCACATCCACAGTAATCATTGTTTTTGATCATCAGATACTAAACCTGTCTATATTTTACTATTTTTTTTTTTTACAGAACTGATAAGTTGACATATTGGCTTAGAAGAGAATATCCACAGATCTCTTATCTTGATATATGCGACATCATCTACACCGCTACTTTATCTGCTGGATGTGTGGTTGTATCTCTGGGACTTCAGAGGAGGATTCTAAACTGAAACTTTGGCTTAGAAAGCAAGACATACGCTCCATCCTGTTGTTATGCCATTACTGCACAAGATTTGATGAGAACTTTGATGTAGTGATAACATTTACTTGAAGTTGTATCAGCACGACTAGTTAGCATTTGACATTATAATGAAAATAATGAGTAACTCTAGATTTCAAAACTACATAATTGTATCCTTCTGTTCATTAGTGTTGGTTTTATTCATTTCAATTCTTTTCAATTATTAAAAATTAGTTCCAGTAAAAAATGGCAAATTCTGTGAATTTTAACAGTGAGACTAGCCACATATGACAAGCCAAATCACTCTCTTTAATGTGTAAGCATACAAAATAGCATGAGTTATGGTTTTGTTTTCTTTTTATTGATATACATGCAAACATTTATACGTGCTAATCAATGTTTCAATAAATAAAAAGCTGAAATTTTCTTTGACAAAAGACTGATTTTAAGGCTTTTCTCCGAACCAAGATGGCTGTTTTGATTAGATAGCAAATAAATGTACAATGGTTGATTTTGAAATTATTAAACCAGACTCTGACTTCTATCTGATGGTCCTTTGGTTCATAATTGTATTTAAAGCCTGTTTCATTCCAAAAAAGGTGGTCTTTCTTACTAGTAGAAGGTTCTTTAAGTGACGTACCTGGTTCACCACAGCAGATCCAGAGGGTTTGGGGGCATAGCACCCATTATTATTTTTTTTTATATGCGTTAGTTTGCTTTGTTTAAAGGGACATGTCTTGTCTGCTTTCCTGTTTCTTCTGCTGGTTACATGTACAGGTATTTATTTACTCTAAAGACGCCTCCATTTTGGGCACCTCCTCACTTTCATTAATGATGAGCTGGTTCCACCACTGCATTATAAACCTTCAAAATAATTGCATTGTTGTATGCTGCCAAATAAGTTGGATTACAGTGAAATATTTTTTGGAAGAGGGACTGTGGTGGGTCTACCAGATGAGAAAACAAAAGGTCATGTTCTGTGTGACCCAATTGCCAATGTGCATAAAAGATATTTTTTAACTCTAAAATCTCCTGGTTCAGATTGACCCAGAATCTGAATCCAAATTTGCTCAGTCCTTTTCTGGGTAAAAAAAAAATACACATTTCAGTCAAAATATCCAAAAAACATGTCTTTTTTTTACTCCAAAGGGGTCATTTATGACTCCAAAAGGGGTCAATTTTTGACCCGGAAAAGGACTGAGCAACCTGGGTCTGACCCAGGAGTTTCTAGAGTGTAGGATATGACAAGCTATAGTGCTGTACGTGCGTAGTTTTGAAATTGGAAGTGCCAACGCAAGGCCTCAAACCGGAAAATGTGGGTTTTTAACATACATACATGTACATAACATTGGCAAACTTTGATGAAGTGTAAAAAAAAAACTGCAGCATATTTGCTGGAGAACTTTTGACATAGTGTTTGTGATGTACTGAACCACACATATGTGCATTAAAAAAATAGACCCAGTGTTGCTGGAACGAAACTCATTTTACAGCCGGTTTTTGAGTTTCAGCTGATGGCCTATGTGTGGCATTATACGAATTTGATTTCTGAATAACACGAATTACACGATTTGGTGTAGACGAGACAAAATCGAATACTCCGGGTCGAAAACGTGTGCTCATTGTTTGAATTCATTTGGACTAAATTTGAAATTGTCTGACAAAAGACGAAATGTAACATTGGAAGTGCACTAAATTGATGTTGCTGGACAAATTTGAATATAAGAAGCGGTAAATTTGAACAGCGAAAAATGTTTTTTAAATAGCCGGGAAAACCTTTAATACTGGGTGTGTTGGTAGCCGATGAGGGTCAAATATTAATTTCTTTGCTTTTTATCGTGAACATTTTTCTGAGAGATGGCCAATGATTAAAGATAACAAAAATCCAGGTCTTAAATAACTTAATGCGGGTACTTGCGCCGATAACGCGTGGCCGTGCCGGTTTTCATGGCTGTCCATCATGCGCGATTGTGCGTGGCTACAACACCGTAGTTTCTTTTCGAAACTTATATAATTATCTATAGTTATAGTTTTGAAATCTTTAATGTCGCAAATGAAAATACGGCCGAAAACGATATGGGCCGAAAACGTGATATTAATACGTGTACGCCTATCACCATACAAAAACTATTCATATATACTTTAAATGTAATTATTTTTAGAACTAGTTAAGAGTCTGGTTCAGTCCGGCTAGCTAGAGAAAAAAAAACCGTTAAGGGCGAAATTAACCCTGACTCGTGTTCAGACTTGCACTCGGAGTCAACCAATTAAATGACTCGGGACTCAGACAAGAACTCACCACTGTGACTCCAGACTCGCACGGACTTCACCGAGGGACTCTACTACAACTCTGGTGAAATCGTTTTGACGATTGATAATTAATATTGACTGTGATCAAAGGCCATTATTAAGTATGCAATAAAAGTGAGTGACACTGCAAGGCCCGATCACATTTTTTCATTGACTCCACAAAGCCGGAACTACTTTGATGTGATCTGGTATTGCGTGCTAGGTTATTTTCAAAGAACGCAATCTAAAGCACGACGTCGACCCCCCCAACCCCAACCCCCCCCCAACAACAACAAAACAAAGACCAACAAAGAATAATTATAATTAATATTTCCCTAAAGACATGATGACTGCACGCGGACATTGGGTATGGGATAGCATGTCCAAGCACTTCAAAAACTGAGGCATTTTTTGCACCTATTCGAAATGAGTTCGTTGAGGTTTTTAGTTAGTTATTTGTTTTGATGACTTAGATATTAACAGTCAGGACTGAGAACTCTCAAACATTAAGTTCCAGTCACAATTTGGATGTCCTCCCTGCTTCTTTTTGTACAAAGCACGTAATATACAAGGATGCACAGACAATTGTTAATCCTTGAATTTCAAGCGGTGTTCATTGTGGTCCTTGTCTTAGCCGGAATTAATTTAAGCAGACGAGATTAGTTTGAGCATAGAGAAAGAAACAGATAGTTTGAGTAATTTGTCATTTCCATATTCAGAGGGGAAATGATGGTAGGCCTAATCGGTTCAAAAACAGATAACAACTTGAAAACCAAATTGCACAGCTGCTGCCATCATCCATTATTGTGGAAAACTTGTATTTTGCAATACTGTATATGTGTGTTGTCTATTGATGAACATGAAACCATTTAATTTCAATGCTCTTTATGTTGTACATTCTTGTTTGTGATAAACCTCAAGGATTGTTCCCCGTGCTATTTTCGAGTTTAACCTCGAAAAGTAGATTTGTTTTGCTCAATTGCTCGAAAAATTCCTTGGAAAAATCCTAGCAATATAAAAGTTGTTCACTTTTGAATGAGACACCGCATGAAAAAAATCCACTTACGTTTATTTACTAAATTTGATTTGTTTGCTAGTTGCCAGACAATAATTCGGCTCTCGTAGGATGGGTTCATTTACGCACAAAATGAATTCCCCTTTTCATAGGGATGTGGATTTCAAAGGAAAAAAAGTAGTTTTTCCGTTAAAACAAAATATACATATTGAAAATTGGTTGAGAGAAAAAAACAACATTTTTTTTTACAGCATGGGGCCTTAATATGATAATAGCCTTCATTATGCCCTTACAGAAATTTCCCATGAGCATTCCATGGGATTCCCATGGGGTCCCATGGGACCCCATGGGAAACCCATGGGGTCATCAAGAACACCATGTAAGTTAAAATGATCACCATGGGAGATTTTATGCTCTTCATGGAAACCCATGGGAACACCATGGATATTGCATGGACAACATGGGAACACCATGGGGATTTTATGAGCTCCATGGGAACACCATGGGGATTTTATAGACACCATGGGAACACCATGGGGATTTTATGGACACCATGGGAACACCAGGGGGATTTTATGGACATCATGGGAACACCATCTGGAATTTATGAACACCATGGGAACACCATGGGGAGCTTACGGACACCATGGGAACACCATGGCGATTTTATGGACACCAAAGGAACACCATGGGGATTTTATGGACACTATGGGAACACCATGGGGATTTTATGTCACCATGGGAACACCATGTACGCCGGGTTATACTGGAGCTGCCATCTTGAAAAATGAGAAAGAACAGTCGACCTCAACATTTTTTAAGTTCTAGAATTAGAAGGCACGAATTCTACAAGTACCCGAATACTGGCGATGTAGGACTAAAACTAGACCTGTGAACGTGCCTATAAAATAACATAGCCTAGCCCCGCTCAAGATTAGATTGGGAAGAAACACTCGGCGCAGGGCTCCTACCATTTCGCGTGCATGACTCGGAGTAAGTACCAGCGTAGCCGTGCGTGACCTCAGAAAATACAAAGTTCTGCTCGTACGTTTGTTGCTGTGTTGACGTCGTTTTCCCCCTCAATTTACTTGGCAATGCAAGATCTTAGGCTTGCGTGAATTTACTGAAAGCTTCATCGTGTGAGTACTTATAGTACTGGCGAAATGAGGTGCTGCGTGACAATTCCGAGTGTTTTTACGTGAGACTGTCGGGAGCTTGGCGCTGTTTACAACGCCACGATCAACGGTTCTAGACTAAAACGATTGAACTTACCGTTTCCGTCTGTGTGACTTGCATCAGCCATTGCAACAAAAGGTCCTTCAATTTCCTGTAGAACGTCAAGCCAGGATCGGCGTACTACTCACTCACATGTATCCAAGCCATCTAGAGTTATGAGGAGTCTCGAAAAACTCTCGATCCAGAATTGACAATGTCTCCCAAATACGATAAAATATAATACGGTTAAAACCAACCGGCCTTCTCGTCACTCTAACGCCGTACCGCCATCGACAACTTGCCGAACGTACTGTGAATTGCACACCGCCAAAGTGGCTCATTTATACTGGCGCTCGATTTGGGGGAATCCCCGGACTGTTCACTTCTAAATCCTGCCACGTGTTCCATAGGATCTACATCACCACTTCTGCAATTCTGC